GACAGCTTCTGTAACTTGGTGCAAAGCATGCCTCTGTAGAGCTTATATTGCTACCAACCATGGCCACACATGCTTTTAGCCTGTGACCTCCACAGTACACCCCCAGGTGATTGATCTTGTTGATGACAAATGTTAATCAGCATAATGAATTCATCAATGTCATGTCTGTTAAATAAAATGACAGTGCAGATGCTACAAAAAATACTAATTTGCTTTGTAACTTTGTTAAATTATTGCTATAATCATTAAGTTTATTTATTCAGCAGTATTTTTTATATTTTTGTTTTGGTTACAGTTTGGAACTCTTTAGTGAACTTTCTGTCATTACTCCTCTTAAATACTGGCCACTGAAGTGAATCAGATTCCTTCCACCCACTGATTTCATTTATGAAAAATAAATGCATAAAGAAAAAGTATTTTTAGAAATACCCAATGCATGCATTATTTGTTCATAGGGGAGGGCTTAAAATGTATTAAGAGAAATCCATTATTTAAGTTCTAACTCTGTATGTAAAAGAAGGTAGAGAGAAGCATCTTCAATTAGGGTATATTATCTCTGCAGATTTTCTCTGCCTTCTCCACAGCAAAAACCAAGGCCAATAAAATGTCCTCTCAGAGGCACTTTGCCAAGCCAACTTGATACATCCATTAATCTTCTGAGTTCTAGACTCATTCATCAGTTTGACCTTCCTTCTTTGCTGACATCTGAGAAAGTCAGAATCCAGAATTAAAAACTATATATGTTCTTGTTTATTGATTATCACCTTGTCAAAAGTTACTACTGTTCTGAAAATCTCTTATTTGGTTATTCTGTCTATATCACCTCCTGGCTGCATACAGTAGCTGTTCCTAAGCTCCACTCTCCTAAATCCTGTGTCCACTCATTTTGCTTACCTTTCCACCATTGTGGTAGAACTAGCTACGGTGGACATCATGAGTGCGCATTTGTGGTACACCATCTGTTGTCTCCAATAAAACTGAATTTAATTCAAATAAAACTGGCTTGTAAGCTATCTGTTGGCCTTACAGACTACAAACTCTTAGAAACAGTGATGGCTCAGGAGTGGAGCTAGTACTTTGAGGTTCAGGAGAGGCAGGAGCATGCTTGCAAATTGTGTACATGATATCAGCAGTCCTGGTTCAGTTGATTGCTGCTCCATCCGATGCTCGCTGTGACACTTTTTCAGGGACAAGGATTACTAACCCATGCTTCATGGATTTCAGACCCACTTGTTGGTTAGTCCATGGCACAGTCGTGCTATCTGGACTCTTTCCATCATTACATTAAACAGGTGGTATGAATCTTGAAAATAATGCTCTTCCCTGCCTATCAGCTATAACCATCCAGTGGCAGAAGTTGAATCCCACACTATATACTGTATATATCCCTGAAATACGTATCTCATCATATTTTCTATAAATAAATCCTCCACCAATCATCCAGACTTTTCCATTTTGAATTGATTTCTGGCATTTGGGGGGATAAAGAATATTCCATTGTGCCATATTTAGTGACTATAACACCATTGTAGATCTTATGGACTTTTTTAAAGTTACAACATATTTGAAGCATATATTTAGCATTTAGTTTCCAAATTCCTATTGACAGGATATATACCCTTCTATTGGCTTTTGGACTTCAAGATACAAATAAAAAGTGTAGTTTCGACTTGTTTTTAACTGAACAATTACTTTGCTAAAACAAACCACAGACATTGATGAGACATTGATGAGGACATTGACTTATAACTGGGTTGGCAGTCCCATATGTTTCCTTTTTTCTTAGAAAGTTCAACACCTGGATAAGGCATGAGTTTTGTCTGATAAATAGCTTTGGATAATTATAAGAGAAGGATGGTAAGTTCTCTGAAAAAGACAAGTTTCTTTTTCTCAAATGACCTGCCTGAAAAATGCAGAATTCTAGAGTTCTTCAAAGGTTTTATAGTGTAATCATTTTAAATTGATGTAATTTAAGCTTGTATCTGATTTTATGTTCTACATTAATGCAAATTTATATTGAATGCTTTCAAACAATAATCTGAAAACTTCTATCTTTTGTTTAGATTACTTTGTTTCCAGGTATTATTTCCTAGTTGATCGAGCAATTAACACACACCTCTCTACATTTAGCTGCCATTACTTACAGATGACATCTTTATCACTGTGTATAGTGTACACATCGTAGGAGGAGTTGGTGTTAAGCTCACAGATGCAATATATTTGAATTCTATGGAATTCATTCACTAAAGGATTGAATTCCTAAAAAAATTGTATTATCCTCAACCCTTGTCTCATTACACTACACATTGCATTATAATTTAGGATTTCCACATTTGACTAGTCATACATCTTACCTGCCACTCCAAAAACGAACTTCTAAAGGTGTAATTCTCCGTAACGGGTTCTTAATTTTGGTTATGAGCTCTAAAGGGATGGTTTAAAGAACCTACAAGCAACAATTTCACCTTTATTGATTCTTTAGATTCAACCTTATTTTTTCAGCATCAAATTGTCTCTATATATTTATGCATTATACACATTCATACATGCACATATTGTATTAAACTGTAAAAATGCTGCAAGAAACTTAGTATTTAAACAAGTCTAGTCTAACAATCTCACATGTCTATAGGAAAATATATTAACGGTTTTATAAAAGTGGCAGATGGCAGAGCAAGGTAATTTCGTGTGCGTTCAAGCTTTTAACATCTTTAGACCCAGAGTTTAATCTTACTGTTTGAATGAATTAAGTAATCGCATCCTAAATTTCAGCAATGTATTAGTCCACAATGTTTAAGCAGCAAAATTAAAAAAGAGAGATTTCACTGCCACGAAATGAATCCCTAATATAAAATAGCAAATATAAATCAATTAAATAGGGTGTCAAAACCAATTTCCTGAAGCATACATTTTGGAAAAACAGAAAAAAAAAATCCTGCCTCAAACAAAAATACCAAATCTAAGTTAACACATTCATTAGAAAGAATATCTCAAGGAAATTGATGCTGTGATACATCACTTTAATCATGTGTTTTTTTTAATTATTTCCTAAATATAAAAAGAAGTGTCTCACAGATGTGTGCCTAATATAGATTAATTATATTAATTATAATTAATTTTTAGCAGAATCTCAGAAATAATGGCACAACTCGGCGTACTGATCTCGATTATCTTAAATTTATGTTTCACCATTTATGTAGTAATGCATTTAAAATTCTCAAAAATAAAACCAAATACAACCTTATTAGAGAAAATAAAAACGAGATCAGCTACAGATACTGCGCATTATATTAAATGCGCATTATATTACAGAAAGATTGTGAAAATCCCTAAATATTTTACACAAATGTCCCTTATTTAATGAAATATTTTAATCGTGGAATCTTTAGTTTTTAGTCATTTTGTGAAAGGTCTTAATGCAAAATATATACAGAACATTTCAACCCATGGTGCATGTTTATCTAACTGATTTTAGTGCTTGGATGCCTGTATGGTGAGAATATATAGCGTTTGATCTCACATCACTTAATCGTGAAGTGTTACAAGAATCAGAATACATATGAATTGAGTGATTTTGTTTTATGACCTCAAACGTTTAGAATACTTTGTGGCCAAGTATTGTTTCCTCAAAAAATATTTTCAGTTCGAAGCACTTCCCCTCTGCGGAATGCGTCAGATAACGCACTGAATGAATTGGTGAATGGAGGAAGCAAGCAAGTTTTGTTTTGCCCCGTAATATACGGTACGAAAAGGAAAATATGCCACTCTATTTGGAGCAAGAGTGGGCATTATATTTAGGTATAAAGCAGGTACGATACAAATATAAATACAATTAATGATTAATGATTCATGCTAATCATAAAGCTTGAGAAGAGGGAGGCAAAATCTTACTATATCCCTATTCAACAGTTACGCTTTACTGGAACATGGTTTATGATCCGCGTTGCACATAAATCACAATAAATAAGAAAAACTTCTAGATGTCTTTTTAAGTATAAAAACTCTGGGATATCGCAAAATAAGTACCCCATATTGTTTAAAGAAAAGTTTGATTTTTTCTATAATGATGTAATTTAATGTTTAACATTTTGTTCCATATGCAGCTATATACTGTATGCTTTATTGCTATTTATTATTTACGTAATGTGTAATAAAAATGAATTATAAAATTATAAAAGAACTATGTGATTCTTGAACATTACAACGCCAATAACGTAAATTAAATATACAGTAGGTTAACAATGAATACATTTTAACACAATTCGAAGATGAAATAAGAGCGATTTCCCGTGGATTGTTTCAAGACCTTCTGTGCAACAAGTGTCTGCTAAAATAATTATTATTTACTTCAGTTAAGACACACTTTTAAAATATAGATTATCAGTAAATCGATACTTATAATATTAATATTGAAAGCAGAGCACGTGCGCTATGAAACATAAAGATAACAACATGTCCTTCTAACCCCCACTTAAATTAAAATCACACTGATTTAAGATGATTTCATAGGACTTTAATAAAAAAAATTCGTTTATGTAACATACACAAAATTATTTATTATGTTCACAAACGAGTTAGCAAACACGAAAATCTAACAATCAGTAAACATACTGTATCAGAAAGTCTTTTTGTATAAATCGCACCTACCTATACCCTCCCTCCCATACTGTAGGAAAGTAAAATATGTACATGAGATTAAGATTGGCAGGTTAACATTAAAGTGCTCTTTGAAATATCTCATAATAAACTATTACAATGCATTATGAGTTTTTAATTGGTATAGCTAATGTTATTCATTATTAAAGTGTCTTTTACATATTACCCTAACCTTCACTTCACATTGTAAATATTTTATACTTTTTTACAAAATACTATCGAAATTTCATATTCCTCCAGCACTAATTTTAATAATGAGAAACAATCCCCTAAAATCTAATGGGAACCCATCCTTCCAAACACGAATCCGATTTGTCTGTTAAATAGTAAAAAGTGAACCGGCTTTTGAGCTTCTAAAAGTTTACATAATTCTACATTTATTTATTTGAATACTTTGTTCTGCTTAAGTAATTTTCTTCAGAAAATGTTAGTTGCTTAACAAAACTCTCTTCAGATACATTTCATTATAAAAAAATAAATAACATTTAAATGTGCAAGAAATGCACAGATAAAGTACAGGAAAAAGCATTAAATTGCCATTTCTTTCAGTCATTTAATTAACATTTGAGTCACATCTTTTTAAACTCCATCCCGTTTATTTTTCCCCCCAGAATGAATCGCCTTACCTGCAGTGTAATGGGCTAAATTTGCTATAAATATGACTCAGACCGCCAAATTACCGTTTATCTCTTACTCCATTTGAAGCTGTAACATTGTTTCGTTCTTTGATCTGTCTAAAAACATCTGCACCTTGTTCGTCACTTTTGTCGCCCTCTAAGAAAGCATGAGAGCTGGATGCAAAGAGTTGCCTTTACCCTCGATCATGTCTGGAAGAGTTTTTTCAAGCAGTGAGGAAGCAGATGAAGGGCAGAGGTGCGCCGCGTTTCCCGTGAGAGTGGGGATGGCAGAGACCTGACCAAGAGAAGGGGTTGGTTTGATCGGGAGAGGAACAGCTGGCATCGTCTGTCCAGTTGTATGACAGAGTGTTTTCATGGGTACTCCGAAAGGTCCATAGTCTGAAGAAATCGGCATCGGAGCCATAGAGTCTAGCATGCCGACGTGAGGCCACATGGAATTGACCATGTTGCTAATCTGACTTGGCACCGGGTACCCAAGGTGATGCATAACTGAAGCAATAGGCAATCCACTTGCCATCATACCTTTATAGTCCCTGCCTATGATATTTTCAATAGCGAATGGATGCTTAAACCCACTTGACTGTCCCCCGTTAATGCTGTAAGTCTGGAACTGTGGAAGCCGTCCAACACCCCCGGTAGTCTCTGGAGTCCCGATGCCCAATTTGGCCTGGTGGTGTTGGTGATGAAAATAGTGGAGCATCTGAGAGTTCTTGGATGCCAGGTGATCAGATCGCATCAATTTAAATCTCTTTCGCCTTCTCAAAAAGCTACCGTTCTCAAACATGTCCCCACAGTCAGGATGCAGGGCCCAAAAACTCCCTTTTCCAGGTTGATCGGGTCTTCGGGGTATCTTAATGAAGCAGTCATTAAAAGAAAGATTATGTCTCAAAGAATTTTGCCATCTTTGTGTATTTTCCCTGTAATAAGGAAATCTATCCATTATAAACTTATAAATGTCACTGAGTGGCAGCATCTTTTCTTGAGAGCTCTGGATAGCCATGGCAGTTAGAGAAATATAAGAATATGGAGGTTTCTGGTCACTGTAAGAATTTTTTCCGGGACGAGGCATTGTGACTTTACTAACAAAGACAACAGGACCGCGTGAATCTCAGTAACTTTACATGTAACTGAAGTTCATGAAGCATAGATTGCGTTCACAACCGTGCAGTTCGCCTCCTCTTCTCAAAAAGCAGCCGAAGTTTGGAATGATTATAATGAGGCGTTCAGCATTAATCATGTGTGTCTTCGAAAAATAGGAAACGAGAAACGTCCGCGAGTCTATAACTTTGAGTCAGACTTGTATTGTGGTTCAAAAAAATATCCAATACGTCAGATTAAAAAAATCAAGTTGTCACTTCAATCAAAAAAATACTTCCATAAGAAACAGGCTACATGTCCAAGGAGACAGCTTTTCCAAGCGCAACAGACGACTTAAGAAAACAGCCTCTCACCGTTTATCATGCGGCTGGAGAAAGTTGTCTATGTTTTACCGGAGAAGATGGGAAAAGCCCCTTTCTTTGGA